GGCCCACGTTGGTTTTTGCGCAGCCCTACAGATAAGGGTCAAAGTTCCGTGTTTTTTTTTTCTCGTGGATATACAGTTTCCTCAACACTGTTTATTGAAGAGGGTTATTTTTCCCATATAGGTTTTTGGTACTTTTTATCAAGAAATGTTTGGCTATACATAGTTAGATTTATTTTGGGGAACAATTTTTTTTATGTCCGTGTCACGCTGTTTTGTGGCTACAGCTCTTAGCACCGCTCAAAATGAGGCGTTATAATGACCTCAAGTTTCATCCCTTTCTGGAGCTCGCAGGCCCGGAGAGATGGCTCCACAGTTAAACGTTCTTGCTGCTCTTGCAGAGTACCTGAGTTCAGTTTCTGCTACCCACATCTCGGGACTCTGAATAACCTGTAATTCCAGCTCCTGGGACCTAGTACCTTCTTCTACTCAATTCAGGCACCCACAGACACGAATCCACACATCAGTTAAAAGAAAATTCTTTTAAAAAAAATATTGCTTGGGCAACTCTTGTGTTTCAATATGCCTTTCAGAAGCATTTCCTCTAGTTCTATGAAGGATGTCATTGGTACCTTAATGGGGTTGCATTAAAACAAAATTACTTTGGGTAATACAGATTTTTAGAAAATCGATATAAGTTCTTCTACATGAGGGAACTCTATGTTTGTGCAGGTTTCTGTGCACGTGTCTCCTTCAGTTTCTTTCATGAGTGTTAATTTGTATTGCACGTCTTCAGTTAAACTTACCCCTAGACTTTTAGATTCTCCTCTCCTCCCCACTGCTCTCTTCTTTCTTCCCCTTTCGTCCTTCACCCCCCATTTCTCTCCCTCCTCCCTCTCTCTTTTCTTCGTAGTTACTGTGAATTGTATTATTTTCACGTTTCTCAAAATTCTTGTTACTGTAGTGAAAAATGCTACTGATATGTACATGTTAGTTTTATAACCTGCAGCATTACTGAACTTATCACTTTTAATAGTCTTTTTGGTGCAATCTTTATTTTTTATTTTTACAAAACAGGATAATGTGACTTTTTCTATTTATGTGGCCTTTTTCTTGTTCTCTTACCAAATTGCTAAGCTAAAACTTCCACTAGTGTATTGACTGTGAGAGAACCCAAGGACAGCACAATAGAGCCAGTGAGGGGGGGGGGGTAGGTGGCCAGAAGCCTAGAGGCGCTGGGAGGAGTTCTCCCCCCCACCCGCGGTCACTGGTCCCGGGGGCGCAGCCTGGGGACCCGCGGGAAGCCACGCCCCGCCCCGCCCCGTGGCCTGCGGGACTCGCCAGCCACGCCCACCGCTGCTGTCTTCGTCCTGCTCCGCGGCCGGCTCTCGGGTCACGGAGCCAGGCTCTCGTGGGTGATGGAGGGCGCAGCCAGCCGACTCCGAGGCGCGCGCGGATCATCCCTGCCTCCGCGGGTCGCGGAAGTGACGCGGGGCACCCCGGCAAGAGAGCGTTTGAATCGGTTCCCGGGTTGCTTCCAGGCCGCAGCCCAGGAGGTGCTGCGCCGCCCGCCGAGGCCACGAGTCGGGACGGCTGGAGCCGAGAGCACGCGCGGAGTGGACGTCGCCGCGAAGTGCGCCCGAGGGAGGGCCGTGGGGTGTTCACTGCAATATGGCAGCGACGGGCGCCAGCGATCCCGGAGGCCTCTCGGCGGGCTCTGAGACGGACGGAGGCGTCGACGGCTGCAGGACCGTGTACTTGTTTGACCGGCGCGGGAAGGAGTCGGAGCTCGGGGAGCGCGCACTGCAGGTCTCCAACCGCGCAGGCTACGCGGAGTTCCGCGCTGCTGTGTGTCAGGTACGCGGCCGGGCTCGGGAGGGAGGCTTGCGAGGAGGTGGGGGCCTGAGGCCTGGGTGGGTCACCGCCATTAACTCATCAGAGGGCCCTGGTCCTGCTTCCTTGGCCTGTCAAGGCTCGGGCCCCTGAGGCAATGGGAGCGGTCTTCCTGCTGTCGTCCCCCCCCCCC